ATGTCCCCCCCCCATCACATTATCCTGACAACAGGCCGACCAGTCCTAACATTAACATCTTAATACTGAGAGCCAAGCGACGCAATGGCTAGTACATTTTTTTTAATAAGTCTTTGGTATGGCTAAGCTAGGGTTTTAACCCGCGACCTCCTGCATCCAAGGTGGATGCTCTAACCACTTAGGCATCTCTCTCTCTCTCTCTCTCTCTCTCTCTCTCTCTCTCTCTCTCTCTCTCTCTCTCTCACACACACACACACACACACACACACACACACACACTGTTTCACTACTGCCTCTTTATCATTTGTTGCCAAGAAAGTACACATTAAGACTAATTGTCGGCTGCTAGTATATTTAGATGGATTCTGGCGACTTTGAGTAGGTCGAAGTTGGTTTTGTTTGTGTTGTATATACTGTACTAAAAATGTGTAACTTTACGTGCCATATGAACACAGCATTGGATATATACAGGTTGGTGTAATACTATGTTAAACAACAGACAAAACTATTTATAATCAAAAATGAATAAACAGCAAGGTCGTGTTGCACGTGTGTATTAAACACAGAACTGATGAATAAAAGGGATTTTAGATTTATTCCAAACATCAATATTGTGCGGTGTGTGTGTGTGTGTGTGTGTGTGTGTGTGTGTGTGTGTGTGTGTGTTTATAATTTATTGAAAAAAATATCCGATTGTGTATAAGCAATAGATCATACATGATTAAAAAACCCCAAAAGATAAAAAACATTACAATTCTCGTCTAGACCGTCCTAAGAGAATTTAACCATCGGACTTTGCCTTTGGGTCCAAGGCACTTCTTCGAGTTCTGCGCAGCATATTTGAACTTCAGCGTGAATGAAACATTTTATAAACAAACTAGCTACCACTAAAATAATGTACGAGAGAGAAGGGTTTGGTGGGTACTACAGTGCATTTGATTCGGTTTCACACGTGTGGGTTTGAACATATGCTTCAGTGAGCAGATCAAGGAACAAGTATCAATTAAAATACTTTCTTCCACGTATTTGATCTGTGAAAAGACTTTTACAATATTGATCGACCATTTTCATCTGGTCATGAGTTTCATAAATTTTAATTTTTACCAGGCAAATTGGACGTGTCACGAACATTCGCATCCAATGTAAATATCAGTCTGATTATTATGAGCAGGTACTTGTTGAAAGCGCAATTAATGGCTTGTTTTATTGCATTGCTCACGTCAATGAGTGAGCCAGCCTTGAATATAGTGATCAAGAGAGACGTGAGAATTGCTAAATATGCTGGTACAAGGTCTCGTGAGGAAACCGCAGAAACGAAAGAAAACAATATATAGTGTCAAATTCTTTCTTCATCAGCATTGTTATGATCCAATTAAAATATTCTCCATGGCAGTCTCAATTTACACCACATTAAAGCGTTATTGGTGTTATGATCCAATAATTTTGATGCAAAATTATCAGTTATAAATGCTACGCTGCTAGCGTCTGCATTTCCAATGATTAATCGCACTGCTGCCATATTTAAAGAGCTGCAATAATCAGTGACAGTAAAATCTGTTGTTGTTTTTTTTAAAATTCAAATCTGTAATAAAGAAACATAAAGATATGTGTATAAATGTATACGTACCTTCAGTAATAATTATGTTATTTATCTTACACCCTCCATTTGGTTATCACATGTAAATCATTGCTCATTTGTAACCCTGACAGATTAATAGCGTTAACAATGATCTTGCTAATCAAGTATGTCATTTTCTTCTATCTTACAGTCATTTACCTTTTTAATTTCTTGATCTCTTTGTTGAATTAATTTGATTCAAATCTGCCTGCAAATGTGCCCACCGTTAGAGTCTCCCATTGGTTTTTTTTAAAAAATATTCTCCATGGCAGTCTCAATTTACACCACATTACAGCCACCACACACTCCAAAAATATTTCACTATTTCACGTAAAGCAGTTTGTATATGTACTGATATCAAAGTGGCATTTAATTTATACATTGAATTTATTTCCTTTCATTAGAACTTTTTCTCATAAGCTATCTATTTTTATTAAAAATATTCAACGTTTAAAGCGATATAGAAATTATTAAATTATTATTTATTGAATTGTGATCATAATGCAATTATGTTAATTCCTAGGGTTCATACAAACTGGATAAGACCTATTGATTGTCCGACTACTCACAGAGAGAGAGAGAGAGAGAGAGAGAGAGAGAGAGAGAGAGAGAGAGAGAGAGAGAGAGAGAGAGAGAGAGAGAGAGAGAGAGAGAGAGAGAGATGCAACGCAAATCGGGAGGAAGAATGAGAAATGTAAATCGATGGAAGAAATAAGAAAGAGAAATGAAAATGCTGAAAGAAGAGAGAACTTCAAATTCACAGATAGAGAGAGAAGAAATGAAAATAGAGTTAAAATTTAAAGATTCAGCAATGTTAAGCAGAAAGAAGCCACCCTCTCAAGTTCATGTTTCAACGTTACAAAAAGTATTAGGTTAGTACCCACATTTAACGAGAAAAAAGTCGATAAAGGCTCATTATGTCGTGGTTAAGGAACAAATTTGGAAGGGTTACCATTGGTACATGAGACATATAGACAGAGGTTTAAGTATTATAAAAAGAAATCACCAAACCAAGTTCGTATTTGTATAGGACCCCATCCCCGAGTATGACAGATGGTGCTCTTCTATAAAAATCGATAAAGATCATGAAAACTTTAGACATTTCTAATTAGTTGAAGCAGTCAATAATTGCATCAATAATGATGCCAAGAGCAAAAGGTAGGAACTTTGGAAGCTGACAACTATTTATTAGCAAAATTTCATGCTTCTGTAAGTCTTCCACATAGCAGGTTTTTATTAGAAAAAAGAACCTAGTTAGTCTCATACGAGTACTTACAAATCTCAAGCTGGTACACCTTATAGGAATTAAATTTTTTACGAAGACTAATCAGAAATCCGTATATCTCCCGACAAACTTATGGCAAGGAAATATGGCGTCTTATTTCTGATTGCTACAAATTAAAACTAAACATCATTATATAGACAGAGCTATTCCAAATGCTCTTATTTCTGAGAGGTCAAGGTCACACACACATGCACACACATTGTAAACAATACATATGTTTGGTCAAACAAACCAAAGTCTGACCTAATTATGGAGAATTAAGAACCATCCATGTCGAATGGTTTTATTTAACTTATTGGTGATCCTGCGAATCTTATCGCTATTAAAATAATATGGGAAACAGGGACATCTAAGAGTCTTTCATTATCAGATACTCCGCCTTTATCCGAGAAATCTTCTTCTTCTGAAAGTGTTCTTATTCGTGGATTAGAGTGCGAATTTCTAACTTCTACTTCACATTGTAAATTTGTTATCAGACTTAGTATTATGTCCGATGACTATCAGACCTGTGAATTATTTGCCCACTTGAACTGATAATATGGATTACAAAGTTGATCCTATTTAAAACTGAAATACATTTTTAAAGCCAGCTCTTGCTGTTAATAGAGCTATGGCAAAAGAGTTCATGAGGACGAAGTTGATCGGCAGATTATTCCATTATAGGCTGATAGGTAATACGGTTATTGGTGAATTGGTGCTATTTGTTCTGCCCAGCGTTAAATATATCGTGGTTTTCTCCAAATATTGAAAGGTAGCGTAGGCAAAGAACAACTAACTAGAACCTCATAAGTATATGGCAATTTCTCACATTTATCTAAGAATGCAGAATGTACTACACATACGCTATTGACCTAACTTGAAAAACACAAGTTACAATGTATCAGGATAATGTGAATGAGTGGGACATCATGCTACAAGTCAGCGACCTGAGACCCAGTGATATACATCACTATAAACTGTCACACTAACAAATATCGAATCAACATGACTGAAGTGTTTTTAAAGCTAAGTCAAAAATGCAAATCACACGCACACACACAAATGATGTATTACAGAGTTATACCGAGGGACATAATTGATTATCTGCAACGATATCGATATTTCACCATTTCTGTTTTGTTTTTTCTCGTTGAGTCGATCTGTGTTTCATTTATAAATTTAGTCTATGATTACTGAGCTTTAGTTGTAAAGTCATCAATAGGACAGCTAAACCATTAAAATCCCCAATTTAAAGTTAATCTTTTCAGCGTGCACATACTTTATAGCTTCATTTAATTTTCTCTTATTTTCTAAAATCTCTTTCTTTCATCTATAAAGATATCTTCAACTCCTCTATCATTCTGTAATATTTATTTCCTTTTTTAGCAACAATTTAAGGATCCGTTTTGACGTAGTATTCGCAGATGATGAAAATAAATTCGTGTATGTTTGAGGTTATTATCTCTTATCACTTTGTTTATTATGTCGTTGATATGGTAGAACTTATTTACTACAGATTTAAAACTTTCATCTTCTTTTCAAACTTTGATTAATACCAGATTTGTATCAATGTTTCACCAAACTCGCTAAAAGGCAAAGAAATAATAGTATAAGTAATTATTCCCGCAATACCGAATCCAGCTGCTGCCAGTCCCATGCCACATTTTGTTTGGCACTTTAGGCTCTGCCATGTTACATCGGTTGATGTTGTTTTGAACTTCTTTCTAACATTTTTTTTTTATTTTACTGACGAAAACAGTTTTAATCTTGCTAATCTTTTCTGAACCTTAAATAGAGATCATTGTAGTCTAAAGGCAGTATACGATGTAACATTAGCATTATCCTAGACTACATCTCGTCTATATAGTAAAATTGGCAGTTAGAGCTTTGAGTTGGGACAGGTTTTACTGTTTTTAGCTTTTGTATTTGGTGTTTTCTGTACATTGTAGCAATTTAATAAAATCTTTAAGACCAAAAGTATTCATTCTGGTTTGCTAATGTTATTCTATTTAATGAGAAAGAACTTTATCAGGTAAAACTACATATGTTATGTGGCCATCGATTGTGAACTGGCTGAAAAAAAAACTGTGTTTATGCGCGCGTGTGTGTGTGTGTGTGTGAGGGGGGCCGGGGTTCGAATCCGCGACCTCCCGCATCCGAGGCGGACGCTCTACCACTTGGCCACCGGAATGGACTCTGAAATAAACAAAATTAATTACTCTATACAACATCATCAATATCCACAACTGAATTTGGATCAAAGGTAAACCTCAGTAGTCTTTACATAGGCATGATGCAGGCAATAGCAAGAGGAAAATACCTGGTAGTGGGTCAATTGTAAACCTCAATAGTCTTCACAAAGGCATGATGCAGGCAATAGCAATATCAAATGGCTAGTAGTGGGTCTATTATAAACCTCAATAGCTTTCAAAAGCATACTGAAGGCAATAGGAGGCAAATAGTTGATGGTGGATCAATTGTAAATATCAATAACCTTTCCAAGTGCATAATGTAGGCAATAGTAAAAACAAACATGTAATGTTTCACAGCAAAATTTCTCGCCGACGTTTTACTTTGTATGCTTTGCTATCTTGTAACTAAACATATTAAAGTATTTAATGGATCGAATTAGGTGTTGTGCTATTCTATTGTCTCGAAAGACTTGCATGTGCAGGCCTTGATTGTGTAATCAGCCCTGAGGAAAGAAACAACTTCACTTTGTAACTAAATAAACCAGATATGTAAAACAGCAATGTCAACTCTTGTCAGATAGAAGAAAAAGCATGAGTTTCTTCTGAACTTTCCACACATTTTGACTCTTTAGACGGTTGTATCTCAGATGAGGGCAGGGACATATTTCCTATCAAAAAGATGTAATTCGCCGAATTTATGAGATCCGATTCACTGTAATTATGGTAGGGTTTAATCCTAATTTAAACAAATTATTGAATTTGTGCAAATTATTGCTGTTTTAGTCGTCACTGATAATTTTCATATCTAAGTCACTAGGTAAGATAATGCCATCGCCACCACTAATATCATAGTCTAATTTCACTTTCTAAATCTATTACACATTGTTGAAATTTAACAAAAAAAAATTCACCTATGCTGTACTCGGGATGTCTTTAAATTAGTAGCTCTAATAACCTCCTAACAGTTTATGCCAATGTCCGAACCGACTGAAATAGATGCTTTATTTTGTACATGTGGACCTAATATTTAGATTATATAAGGCATAATTTTATTCAATCTAGCTGTTTCCACATCTGTTAATCAGTTATCTTGCAGAAAGAAGTATGCACAATTAATAATTTTATCTTTGTGAGAGAATTCATTTCATCTGATAATGTTCTCTGTTAGGCAAGTCTATTATATGTTTCACTTTAGGCACGTCTCTGTAAATAGGTTTTGAAAATGTTTAAAATCAATTGAAATTATGAACATTATTACAAGTTTTGTGTAATTTCCCATTGGAAGTTTCAGTCGTGTTGGTTTTCTTGCGACGTGGGCAATTGTAACATAGATCGCGTGGGAACTATTGTGACAGACTCGTAAGATTGGTGTAGTGTGAATATAAAGTAAGAGTTGATCGAATGATTCATACTTATTTCCTATGTTCTTGTTTTAATATCAGACTGCAGATGCGTTGAAAGTTGTGTTTAGATATAATTTGAGAGGAAAACATGTTTTGATTAGTTATTGGAATTACTAAGTGCTCATATTACTGTTTGGACTAAACTATCGTCGGGGGGACTATTGTAAATTTATTAAAAAGAGGAGTTCTGTACAATGCCATTACGATACATCAAAATTTTCGGCACATCAACACATTCTATGACCTGGTATTCATTCGGAACATTCAGTTCTTTTGGACATGTGAAAAGCTGTTTAGGTTTATATTGGACTTAATTCACGATCCTGTGACGTTCCTCTTCAGTTTTTGTTTTATAACTTAGAAACTTAAATTATTCTGTTATGTTTTACAAAAAGTGTTGGTTTTGATTAGTTTTGTTACTCTGTTTAAAACGATTGAAAGCTTAATATCGCAAATATTTACCACAAACTGCTCCATAATTTTCGCCTCTGTATAAACCTCTAACCCATAAGCAGGTCAAGAGGTGATTACATATAAACCTGGTGCTTAGTTTTTTAATCTGGTTCATTGTCAATCAAGTGTTTGTTTTCTTCCCTTGAGGTATCTCCAGTCATGCGGTAATAGTATTTAGAAATTATTTATGATGAGATTGATTTGTTCTGGTATGTGTGTTGTTGTTTCTTGACTGAATATATTACCGTGAGGAAGAAATATTTTACATTCGAGCGGCAGTTTTAGTATATTGAGATAACCATGGTTTGACTAATTCTGGTAGGTTGTTATTAGTACATGTTAGTAGGAAGTCATGCAATCATCTGCCTAGCGTAGCTGATTCGGCAAAAGCTCATGTGACTTGTATCTGTTGAAAGAGTTACCAGCGACTGATTTTGAAGTAGTTATCAAATGTGCCGAATGGCCTACATCTGAATCAAAAAAATTCTCAATGCAGTGATTTTTTTGGCTATATGCATTTGTATTGTTAACTTGTGTATTGTGTGTTAACCAATTTCATGCATTAAATTCAATCACATGCCCTAATATGGCATGCTGCTTAAGTATTTTTAAAATCTAGTCAAATCATTAAAATCAAGTCAAATAATTAAAATCAAGTCAAATAATTAAAATCAAGTCTGTCGTGTGGAATTAGCCTTTTAATGTGCAACATATCGAGCTTCCCTTCTGCCTTTCGGCATTAAAAAATAACTTGATTTTTTTAAAAATTCTAATCCGCCCATTTCACCAACTGTACTACCATTTTATTTTATTATTTTTAAATATACTTTATATCTATAATAGTTTTTCTATAATATTGGTAATTTTTTTGTCTTCCACATTCTCTATCAGTTTTGTCTGTTGCATTTGTAACATTTGACTACTATTTGCACTTCTGGTTTATTCATGCACTTCATTGTTACGCGTCTGTTTTGGTAGATTCTGCGGTGGGGACATATGGACTGTGTCCAAACCGTGTAGTTTAATTTCATTTACACTAGGGTGTCAGATACAACATAACAACAAATTTCATCTTTAAATCTTATATTCGCTAACTTTTGAAAAGTGGAAGTAGATTGCTCAGTTAACATTTCCTTTAATTCAGTGTATTCTATTTTATTTTTGTACCCTTTTTAAGCTATATCGACAACTGATTGACATTAGACATTTGAGTAAAAACTAGCTTGTCCTGATCGTAGTAAAGATTTCATAAATGCAGTTCACTGTACTAATCTGCAAAGTTAGCTTTAGTGGGTTGGTGTTCTTCGCGTGTGCTGTCAGCACACTTGTGCGTGTCTGACGTTGTTAATTTAGAAATTAACTACACCTTCAAGGAAATGCGTTGTTTCTTAATTTTACTTTAGATATGTTCAACAAGATGAAACAGAAGAACATCTACACCAGTATTAATTATTTTCAGCAATTAACAACGTTTAAAGATTGTTTAAACACATGAATGGTTTCAAATTTAAGCCAGATTTGTTTCTTTAAAACGGTTGAATCTAAAAAAAAGCAGTTCATTCATTGAATCATCACGAACTTTTTTAATGAAAATTTGTTTTTCCATAAATTCTGTTTGTACATTGTTTGTAGATTGATCTTGTGGAGTCTACATGAACTTCAACTTTATGCTGTAAATTTTGATGAGACTTTGATGTACTTCTTCTAACATTAAAATTGTAAATTTTTCCTACCGAATACCGTACTGTTCTAAATATCATCATTTGTTCCTCCGAATACCGTACTGTTCTAAATATTATTATTTGTTCCATCCTAATACCTTAGTTTTAAAAAATCGTCATATCAAAGTTATTGATATTACCCTTGATGTCGTCGTCATGAAATGTAAGACCAAAATCTGCATATGTTATAAGTAGTATTAAATCATTTTAATGTTTGAAATAATAAAATATATTTTTGTATTTTCTTGCATATTAGTTTGTAGAATGACTAGCTCTGGCTACACTTTTAACCCATTCAGAAATGTAAACATGTTGATATGGCACCTTTCATGATTAGCTTATTAAATATGTATGTCATGTAGGGTTGACCCTTATTAATGATGTATAACCTTTTTTTGCTAGTGTTTTGCTTGGTTTTGGTTTGATGCGGAGAGGATTGGAGTAAATGTCCTTGCCCAAGGACACACCACACTCCACTGTAGCTGACCCAGGCTGGTTGGATGGTAGGATCAGAACCGGTGCCTTTTCGGCTGCAAGTCGGACATGCTAACCACTAAGTTACTGAAGTTCAATTGAAGTGTGACTTTATACTTGTATATATATATATATATATATATATATATATATATATATATATATATATATATATATATATATATATATATATATATATATATATATATATATACGTACGTACATACATACATACATACAGTAGCACCAATGAATACTGTGGTATAAAAGGTTGTTTTTATTGTGGGTTTAACGCTATTTTCAACAATCGACAGGCTATACCTGGCGGCCAGCATAATCGATGGAGGATTAACCCATGAAAACCCAGGAAAGAACTACCGACCCACGGAAATCGGTTAAAAAGGTAAAAGAGTACTAGTTTGTAACGGATCTTCTCTCCAGGGTAATATTTAATGTGTGTGCATATGTGTGTGTGTGTGTGAGAGAGAGAGAGAGAGAGAGAGAGAGAGAGAGAGAGAGAGAGAGAGAGAGAGAGAGAGAGAGAGAGAGAGAGAGAGAGAGAGAGAGAGAGAGAGAGAGAGAGATACAACTTGTCTGAATGGGTATTGTCCCTTTAGTTTTGTCTTCTTTTGCATTCAAAATTTATTAAAATTGTATTAGCTAATAAAATTCAATACTAGGTCATATGTTTCGGAAAGAAAAAGCGAAGTAAACTAAACAGAAGCAATTACAGTGTAACTATTTTTAAAATCCTTCATAATTTTGAAATATACAATTGAATGAAATCGAATAAGACGGAATAATGAAAGAGAAATAACAAGGAAAATAGCTCTGATCATCCCCTGAACGACAGATATAATTCATACTTGAAACAACTTTAATGGATGTTGTGAAAGGTGTTCTTTGAGGGAAACTTTCAACCACGTACAAACTTTATCCAAA